TTTGGTACCGGGGATTGAACTCGGGTCCTTGTGCTCACGAGGCAGGCCACCGAACCACCGAGCTAAATCCCCGACCCTCTATTTCTTGATATCATGTAAAATAATAATACTGTATTTACTTCATGGAATTGTCAGGAAGATTAAATTAATGCATGTAGGCTCGTAGACATATATTATAAAATTCAGTGATTATGATTAATTATAAACAGTATACCTACTGGTGACTGTACTTATTCAGCACTATGGGGTTTTTTTAAATGTATACCCCTTCCCCAGTGCTTAATAGTTTGGTGTGGTGGTTTTCTAGTTAGACTCCAAGTAAATTAATCATATTCCTGAGTTGATGGCATAAAATAATCATTGATCCTTTCAAAGCCATTGTTTCCTTTTGGTATATTTATCCTTTGTTATTTCCATAGTTTCTTTCCCTTCCTCTTACTCTATGCAGTTATTTTCATCTTTATCCTTTTGTTTACATGTAATTTTGAGAATGGATATTTTTAGTTTTTTCACTTAAAAAAGTCTGTGTGTGTGTGTGTGTGTGTGTAATATATATATATATTACACACACACACACACACACACACACACACACACTTTTTTTTTTTTTTTTTTTTTTTGTGGTGCCAGGGATTAAGCTCGGGTTTTTGCAGTGGCATCACTGAGCTAAATCCCTGGCCCGTTATATGTTTTATTTTATCCTTTATTACTTTTTTCTATTCCATCATTTGATTGATATTTATTTTTATTTTTTTTGTGTGTGGTACTGGAGATCAAACCCAAGGCTTTGTGCATGTTTGAATAGCATGTATGCCACTGAGCTATACTCCATCCCTATTTGGCTATTTTAAAAATCATGCATAGGTCAGGTGATTTAGCTCAGTGTTTCCAGCACCTTCCTAGCAAGTGCAAGGTCCTGAGTCCTATCCCTGTTACCAAAAAAAAAAAAAAAAAAAATGCAGATTATTACATGCACATCTATTCCTTTGATTCCAATTCTTAATAATTCTCTTTGTGTATCTGCCAGTCTATCTTTGCACTTCCATGATGATAGGCACATAGGTTGCCTCTAACTCCCTTCCGCCACATTGCAGGACTGGCTTTCTGTAGACATTTCTGTTCTGGATCTCTGAACAGACTTTCGCCCATATGCACACACACACACATGCACACACACGCACATTCTTTGACACACACATGTATGTAAATGTATATATTTAGTTTAACTAGATACACTGCTAGATTCTCTGCAGAATAGCTGTAGTATTCTACATTCCAAATTTTTTGCCTTTTGAATGAGTACTAGGATTATTCTGCTTGGACACCCCTTAGTAGTAAGATATTTGCAGCCAAATATATGAAGAAATAATGTATTTTAGAAAAATTAGTCTTCCATAATTCAAATCTAAGCCATCTCCATTCTAAGATGAACCATCACATGTATTTTAACAAAAACTGCCACTTAAACTGTTATGTGCCATAGATTAAAAGATGCATTCTAATTTCACATATGTTAAGATGTGAGAATGTTAGTCTGGAATCCATGAGAAAATATTTTTAGCCATTCGTGAGCATTTTCCAATTATTATCAGGACTACAAAGATGAAAATAATCATATTTTACTATTACAAAAGAAATTTCCCTTACTGGACTGGTTGGAAGTTATAAGGAAGGTAGATTTCTGCTGTGTGTAAGACTGTTACTGCTATTGACATTTAAATGTCCTGGTTTTAAATTACTGAGGTTCTTGTCATTGAATACATTTAAGTAGCTCTGGATAGTTATGTGATAGGAATTTTATTGATTATTTTTGCTCTTGAAAGAGAGTGAACCAGCTGTCCAGGGTTTCAGGGATTATGTTCAGCAGTTAGTATCAGACTTCGAAAATGGTAGCTGCTGGTAACAACACACCTGGTATGGTTGGTTACTCCTTGATATTAGGAATCCAAATTCTTTTTAGCATGTGATTTTCACTTCAGAATCTTACAATAATTATTCAGCCTCCAGTGTTGTATTCATGTTATAGGTAGAAATAAGAAGACGGGTGATAAGAAAAGGGGGGAGTCAGTCTTCTCTAAAGAGATACCCAGAACTAAAGCATGACTACCCGGATGGGTAGCCAGGAAGTGTAAGCTTTTTATTACTGGTACTAATAAAGTCCAGACTTAAGTCAGAAACAAAGGAAGAGTTAAAATGTTAAAAGTGATTTTCTTCTTCTGTTCATTAAAGTCTTTATTTTATTTATTTTTCTAGTTAGAAAGTATGTCAGTCTAACTTCCCATGTCAGTCTGGCCGCAGTACATATGTTTGATACGTGGCTTTATTGTAGTTTAAGTTATTTAATTGTTTATTTGATCATTTATGCTTCTTATCATGTTGATTTGATTCCTGATGTTGATAGGATCGAACAGGTCCAAGACAACTTAAAATGATGCCTGGATCAGTGAAATAGGATCTGAAAGAACCCAGAAAAGTTGCTAGCTTCTCAGCCCAAACTTCCTGACAATAGAAAAGTGTTAGCTTTATGCTTTCATCCCCATCCATTGTTGTCTAAATCCCTTTCTTGCTCTACTTTGTTATCCCTCTTCATTGATCTTGCCTGTCAGTTTTCAAATTAAAACTCATTTTGTTTATCTCTTGTTAGAGACCTATAGGTTCCTTATTACTTCGAAGATGCCTTCCCAGACAATTTGATACTGAGAATTTAATTTAGAAGTTAATTAAAATTGTAAAAGCTATAATCCTGAAATTTTTTTTTTCCCTAGAGGTAGCATATTCTTTGTTTTTGTTTTTGTTTTACCAGGACTTAAACTCAGGACCTTGTGCTTTCTAGCATATTCTTGATTAGCAAAATAGTAATTACGAGGGCTGGGGATGTAGCTTAGTGGTGCTGTGTCTGCCTCGCAAGTGCAGTTTGATCCCCGGTAACAAAACAAAAAAATAGTAATTATGAGGGATTGGGCCACATGTTGCTAGGATATAGCAGTCCACACAGCAGAATCCTTTTTAAGGAAATTTCCCTTTCAAGTGATGGACTTGATCAAAAAATTAGTGCACCTTTAAGGTCATATGACAATCACTTATTATTTTTTTTTATTTTAAAGTAGGAGTCAGCAAGCTTTCTCTATAAAGTACAAGGTAGTATTATCTGCTTTGTGGGACACATCTGGTCTATCATGTATTATCGTTATTGTTTTTTGAGTTTTTATTGGTGTCTTTTTTCACACATCTAAAAATTTAAAATCCATTTGAACTGGGTCAGCCCCATCACCACTGTTAGCTGTTGCTTATGTTTATGTATTCAGAAATGTCATTGGCAGATTTTGAGCAGTTGATATTACATGTCCTGATTTTTTTATTCAAGGTGGCACAAAAATCATTGAGGAGCTAAGGCAGAATCAGGAGACAGTAGATTATTGCCTGATGTACTAATGTACTAGAAATATCTATTGAGAAATGGAATGCTGGGAGATAAAATATAAGGTCTATTTTGAGTATATTAAATTTTAGATTCTTAAATGGATTATCCATTAGAGTTTAGAAGAGAGCTGTGACTATATATCTATCCAAATACATTCTGCTGTGGGTAGCGTGTAAAGCCATGAGATTTGATGACATTATCTAAGGAGAACCAAGGGCCAAAAACCGAGTCAAGTGGCTGTCCAACATTTAGAAATGGGTAGAAGAGAATGCAGCAAAGGAGGTCGAGGTGCTTAAGAGTGTCCATTGTAATTAGAAGGAAAACCAAAGAAGGAGTATCATGGAAGCCAGAAGAGAATGAAGTTGTCAGCTTTGTCAAATCATTTTGTCAAGAAAAATATGCAGAAGTAACCAGTTCACTGGGCATTAAGACTTAGATCAGAATAGTTTAGTTGGACTAATATAGGACAGAGACCATATTGATGATGTAGGCTGAAGGGGAGCAGAGAAATGGTAAAGCAGCAAAAGGAGTAGTGTGATGCGGGGAGTGTTGTTGTCTTGGTAGTGGGAGACAGGACATGTTTGCTTAGTGATGGGGATGATCCAGTAGAGAAGGAGAACTCAATGATGCAAGCAGGATTTGCTTGAATATATATTGGCTGCTGGGTTTATTTTAAAGGGCAAACAATAATTGCCTGGGTTGAAAGGCAAAGAGAAAAGAGCATAGAAGTTTAAGAGAAAACAGCATATTTAAGGAATGGCAAGCATCGTTCTACCTGGAACAGAATTTCCATTTAAACACATTATAAAGGAAGTGGTTGGCAAGGGTCAGATGAAGAAGGACTAGTGTATGAGAACTTTTTATGAAGACTGTGAAAATACTCAAGGATTTAAAACTGGGTAAGTAAGATTTTGATAGCATTTTTTTTTAAAGATGAGATAAAAGAAGATAGATGTAGAAGTTGCCAAAATTGTAGACAGGGAAATCAAGGAGGAAATTGATATAACAGTCCAGGCAAGCATATTAAAATGCTTTGTTTAGTTTTGGAGTCTAGAGAAATTCAGTAAATACAGGATTAGATGAGATCGGTTATTTATTTAACCTTAGTTGTTTATAACAATACCTATATATTAATCAATTAATGATGTATAGCAGTCAGATAAATAGCTGTGAGGGAGGTGGTAGAGTACTGGCTTAAAGTGTGTGAGACCATGGATTTGCTCTCCAGTGCCAGAAATGAATGAACGAAAGAATGAATGAATGAATGATGTGGAGTACAAATGCTGGGTCTGGCCTGGAATAATTTGTTGGGTGAGGCACGAACATGAAGTCGCAGTTGTCAATGAGCGTCTCAATACTATGGGTGAAGGGGAAAACAGTGTTAGTGATAGTTTGACAAAAAGTCATTTATGAAACTTCAGTTTTAATCCATAGTATGAGCAGACTGTGCAGTTTGCACTCACAAACATAACCAAAAAAGAAAAAAAACACCTATCCATTTTTGTCCCTTATCTTTTAAGTGTTTTTGTATTTGTTGTTTGTTTGTTTGTTTGTTTTTGATAGAGCTGGGGATTGAACTCAGAGCTTCATACATGCTAGGCAATTGCTCTGCTACTGAGCTACATTCCACCCAGTCCTAGTATTTTAAATATTTTTATTTTTAAGCTGATGGTTATTCTTTACAATAAATTTGAAAATATATACTTTGCCTTATTCTCTTTATTAAGATGGAAGAATTAGAGGAGAAACTTAATGATGCTCTTCACCAGAAGCAGCTACTAACTTTGAGGTTAGACAACCAACTCACTTTTCAACAGAAGGATGCCAGGTAAGAAAAGTTAAAAAACAAAGCAAACAAACAAACAAAAAAAACCCTAGTATTTAGCAATTAAAAATAACTTTATTATTTGTTCGTGCATGTTATTGTAAGCTAAAATAGAGAAATTTTGTCAGCTGGTAATAATTTTCATCTTTAGGCCACCAGAAAATAGATTATTTGATATAGTATGTGAAATTTAAAAAGTGAAAATGTAACTTTCATTCAGTAAGCATGGGTCAGTGTAGTTGAACCACAAAGGAAGTGCTTTGAACTGACCTCCACATAATTTGCTGTCTAGATTACTAATCTTCATTTATTCTGTGAAACATACTGATTGATTGTCATGGCCTGTTGGACTTTCCTGGCATGAAGTACTTTCTGTTACACCTACGTATTTTCTCCTGCTTAGCTGAGTGCTTATCAAGAATCCATCTTTTACTCTCAAATATGCTTGTGCCAAGTATATCTAATACACTTACATAATTTAATTAAAAATTAAATAATAAAATGAGTACAAAAAAAGACGCATTGTTTCTATTAAAAGTATAAATAAATTCATTGGAAACACTCAATAAAAGTGAGTGACAAAAAATAATGAAATGAGGGATAAACAAGACAAGTTTACAAAATCGGGCCAAAAATCAAACTAGTAATTAGGTCTTCTGCCTTTCTAAAGAAATTGAGCTTGGCAGTCATAAACAAAACATATGAAAACAAAGCATGCCTCCATATTAAAAAAAAAATCTGAACCCTTTATAATAAATACAGCAAATCAATGTTTATTTCTATGTTTTAATTAGGAGTAAATGTATGAAGTAGGCATCTTTCTTTTTTTAAGATTTCACTAACAATTTTTCTGAAAAGTTACCAGATCAATTGTTAGGTAGCACATTAAATGGATCTCAAACTTTAACATGTATCCAGAAGACTTGTTAAAAAAGTTAGTACTTTAAGCCCTTAGATTCTGATTTTGGGTAGATCCTGAGAATTTGCATTTCTGGTGCTATTGGGAAAGCCCTTTGTTAAACAAACTGAATGATGCTGAGAGGGCTATTAGTCAACTTTTGCAGGGCTGCTATTAATACAAATGGTGATAAAAAAGTGGTTGGATCAGGAGTCTATCCATGAGGATAGAGTGATAAGATGTCCTCCTGATGGATTAGATGTGGGGCTTCAGAGAAAATAGAGTTAAGGATCGCACCAACATTATAAAAGATAGAGTTGTTGTCAACTACGATGGAGGAAATCAAAGTGAGGGTTTGTGACATGTTAGTTTAGAGTTGTCTTATTAGAAATCTGCATAGACGTGTATGAAAAGTGTGGTGCAGATGTATAAATCTGACAGTCATTAGGATATAGCCAGTATTTAAGTCATGATACTGGGTGAATTCCCTAAGGAAGTGAGTATAGAAAGAGAAGAGGACCATCTACTCTATCATTGAGAAAAGAAGAATGAAAAGATGTAAAAAAGGAGAAAAGAAGGAAGTGTGGTTTCTTGGAGACCAAATTAGAAAGAGATTATGAAGAAAGAAGAGACTAGACTCAGTGGTAGAGTTCTTGATTAGTATGCACAGGCCTTGTATTCGATCCCCAGTACCACACACATACAAAGGAATGAGAGATTTAAATGTGTTAAGTGCTGTGCTTAGGTCATGGATATAAAAAAGAACCAAGACTCAATCATTGCCAATCTGGGTGTCATTGGTGTCTTTGAGATCTAAGAAAAGCCAAACACTTGCTTGACGTGGATAAAGAGAAAAGAAATTAGGAACAAAGAGCATAGACAACTTTTGAGCAGTTATTTTCCCATAGGGAAGCAAACCAAGGGGAAAGTGAAGTAGGCTCAAGAGTTGTATTTTCATGTATTTTCAAATAGGAGAAATAACAACATGTTTGTCTGTTGACAGAAGAAATACAGTAGGAAGGAGGAAAAATCAGATTGTTCCTTCTTGTTTAAAATCTTTGGGTAGGCAAGTAGCAATAATTGTCTGCTATGTGTTCTTTGAGCACATTGAATATGTGCAGACTAACCTCAGTGGCTGAATGAATACTTCATAGTGGTTAAGTGTTGCTGTATCACTTACAAGAGATTCCTTAAAGTACTGGGATAAAAGAGAAATGAAAATTATTTTATTTATTTATTTATTTATTTTTGGTTATGGAGATTGAACCCCGGTCCCTGCTCTTGTGAGGCAGGCGGTGGAACCACTGAGCTAACCCCGGCCCAATGAAAATTACTTCAATAAGTAGGGTCCAGAGCAGAAGGATGAGACTTAAAACTGAAGCAGAGGAAATGTATACTTTTGTAATTTGAAGTTTTAAAATATCAACTAGTAATTTATGTGACTACACATTTTACTAATTTGTATGAAATTGTCATTTCATGTTTAATCGATTAAGTAAGCGTTTAGCTGGACCCAAGAACACTGCTGAACTATTCCCAATTTTATTAAAGATTCTTTCAAGCTTGCTATGAATTATCTCCTATTGTAGAAAATATCAAGAACTCATGAAACAAGAAATGGAAACCATTTTATTGAGGCAGAAACAACTAGAAGAGACAAATCATCAGCTAAGAGAGAAAGCTGGAGATGTTCGTCGAAACCTGCGTGACTTGGAGTTGACAGAAGACCAATATACAAAACTAAAAGCTTTTCCTGAAGATCAGCTTTCTATTCCTGAATATGTATCTGTAAGTGTCTTGTACCACTTAAGAAAAAGTCTACATATTTTCAGACTACATCTATTTGCTATTTATGTATTAGCCATTACTTTCAAAGTACTCAATTAGTGGATTATCTGTGGTACTGATCAGAAGATTGTAACATTTAGTTTATCAAATTGTAAAGAATCCTGACCATTGATATCCAAGGAAAGGAAGAAACAGGATTCTGAAGTTTTGAACTACATAACTTTAGAAAAGAATTATTTTATCGTTAAGTAGCAGTTTAAAATAGTCTCAAAATGAAAAATTGTGAAAATAAACTGCAGGTAAGTTGATGCCCAGGACTGGTTAGGGATAGTAGTGGGGAGTGGAGTTGGGACGAAGCAGAACTATGTGGTGAGATTAGTTTAAGATCTTGATTACCCTGCTGGTTAAACAAATCTGCTTTTCTGATTGATATTTTGAGTACTCTTAAAATGCTTGGTCTCAGTATTCCTTTATATTCTGAAAGTCCCTGAGGATCCCAAAGAGCTTTTGTTTATATGACATAGGCCATATCTGTCATATTTGCCATGTTAGAAATTAAGATTACAGGAATTTTTTTTTTTTTGAGACAGGTTCTCACTTTGTATTCCAGTGATCCCCCTGCCTCACCCACTCAAGATTTGGGATTACAGGTGTGCTCCACCACACTCATTCAAGACTAAGGGATTTTTGTAAACAGAAAAATACTGAACCAGGAACCGTGGCACATTTGTATCACCAGCTACTGTGGAGGCTGAGGCAGGAGGACTGCTTGATTCCAGGAGTTTGGTCTGGTTTGGGGAATATAGCATAACCCTGTCTTAAGAAATAAATAATATGTAACTACACATTCCATTGGCCTTAAAAGTCATGATACTGTATATTAAGGAGTTTTAGATTATATGCCTGCACAATATAAAGACTAATTATTCTCTCCTAACTTGCTGGTGGCCTTTTACTTTTACAGGACCTTGTCAGATAGATCACTTGACTGAGTTAGGTAGCAAATTCCCCTGAGAAAATTATGAATGAGAAGTAAAATCTGAACAGAAGTACACATAGGGAAGATACCACCTTTTATCCTGATTATCCCTCACACTTCAGTGGCAGCTGTAAGCAGAGCTCTGCCAAGAGCTTGAAATAACAAAGGTAGGGATGGGGTGAGCTCCATGGTAGAATGGGATGCTTGCCTACTGTGTGCAAGTCTGTGGGCTCATCCTCAGCATCTGGGGGTGGGGAAAAGATGTTATCTCTTGACAAGATTTTTTTTTACATATATTTAGGCATTGGAGATTGAGCAATCTGCAAACCAAACAAAATTTCTTATCTGCATGGAGCTTACCTTCTAGCACAGCAACACAGATATTAATTTAAATATTAAATACGTGGAATGTGTGTTGTTATGGAAAAATAGCAAGACTGAAATTTAGGGAGTGCAGCCAGGTTAGGGTGTTGCTTTAAACTAGGACAAGGGAATCAGAAGGTTTTACTGGCAAGTTGACCTTTAATCTAAGACTTTTAGAAGAACAAGGCCTGAACCATGGATTTATATATAGGAAGAATTATTTTCATAGAGGAGGCTGCAGTAACAAGGCCCTTGAACACTTGGATTTGTCCAGGGAATTTATAAGTAGTGTGGAATGAGCAATATTTAGGGGATGTGAGTAATAGGGTAGTAATAAATAGTAATAGGCTGTGAAAAGAAGAGAGGGGAGGGGAAGGGAGGGGGTATGGGGGGTTACAGACTACCTAGTTCTTTGTTAACTTAATTGAACATTGAGATTTAAGTGTTAATGGTTAGGTTCACGTAATGACTGTCTTGCTTAATTATAGTTATTGCCTTTTTTTAATGATAACTATATTGAATTATTGCTAATATTTATCCATGGGGGATATATTCCAGGACTACTAGTGAATGACTAAAACTACATCCTTTACATCTTTTACTGCATTTATCATTACACATAGATATTGCATTTACTATCAAACATAAATACCTATGATTGTTTAATTTCTAAGTTAGATACCATAAGGTGACAGTAACTAATAAAATCAAATATTGTGGGACCAGGGATTTAGCTCATTGGTGCCACCGCCTGCCTTGTAAGTTCAAGGTCCTGAGTTCGATCCCTAGTACCAAATATATATATTATATGTATTATAACTTTTTTATTTTTGGTAGTTCGGGGGATTAAAACCAGGGCTTCAGATATGTTAGACAAGGGCTCTTACCACTGGAATACATCTTCAGCCCTTTAAAAAAAATTTTTTTTTTAAATTTTTGAGACAGGTTCTTGTTAAAATTCCCAGGCTGATCTTGAACTTTTGATCCTCCTGCCTCAGCCTCCTGAGTATCTGGGATTACAAGCATGTACCATCATGCCTAGCTAACAGTATATTTTTATTAAGAATTATTTAAAACTTATGAATTTTTTTTCTTGGACTTTCTGTGTAATATTTTTGGCTCTGGTTGACTGTGGGTAAGTGAAACTATGGAAAATGAAGCATGAAAAAGGTAGACATCTGTACTGCAAATTAGGGAATTTTAATTTTAATTCACACTTCAAGATTGCTTATTAATTTCTTTTTTTTTTTTTTTAAGATTCGGTTCTATGAACTAGTGAGTCCATTAAGAAAGGAAGTCTGTGAACTACAGGTGAAAAAGAATGACCTATTGGAAGAACTAAGTACAAATAAAGGCCAACTGAAACAACTGACAGAGGTTTGTAAGTTTTAATCACTTGTAAGAAGCTGCTCCAACTTTTTCTATAAGGAATTTCTCAGTATTTACTATAAGGAATATAAAAGTCAGTGATGGAAAAATAGGACTAGAGAATGCTTACTGCTGTGATCTTCATAAGTAGTGAAAAGAACTTTAAACTGGAAGTTATTTTAAAACTTGAAAAAATAAGTTCATGATATTGACCTGCAATCCATAATTTAGCATTTTGTTATTGTTTTCCTAATCAAGTTGCTTTTGAAATCTAATATGGACTATTGTCTTAGTTACTTTTCTCATTGCTGAGGCAAAATACCCAACAACCAGTCAATGGAGGAAAGGTTTATTATAGCTCACAGTTTGTAGAGGTTTCAGTTCGTAATTGACTGATCTGAGGCAGGGTGGCGTGGCAAAGGAAACAGTTTGTGGCAGGTAGAAGGCAGCAATTAGTGAAGTAGTGAAGCGGCAAAGCAGCAGTCTCCCTCTCCCTTTTATCCCCTCTAAGCTAATTACCCTATTGGTAGTGCCTTCCACATGCAGGGTGGGCCTTCCCATTATCCACGCCCAGAACTATGCTTAACTGATCACTGGACCGATTTAATAATCACACATCCTTGATCCCAGCATCACACATCCTAGAATCAGCCTCCTCTGTGAAGGTTCACCTATGAGTGCGTGAAGCTTTGGAGGGACATTGAGATACAAGCCATGACAACTGTATTTGAAAATTGCTGTGACATAAGAGTTTACTTAATAATTCAGGCCTCTTTTTAATGTTACTCTGTCAGGAAATATACACATGAAACAAATGTAGACCAGGATACGCAGGGGATTTCTTTTAGGTGCCCTAAGAGAACTCTTTTAACTTTTTATTAGTATGACTCTTAAGTTCTGATTTGACTAGGACTGACTCCTTTATTCCTTGGAAGTATTAATAGCACCTCACTTACTTTTAAAAGTATCACAATCTTGTTGATAAATTATAGTCATACTTACAAGTCTTCTATTTGTAGGAGGGTGAACTAATGATTAGCTTCTAGATTATGCCACTGACCATATATTCCATAATACTATCATGTTGTTATAATTTGCTAAGAACAAAATAGTGGTAGATGATTGATTTTTACTGTATAAGAGTTCGAAAGGGAATAGCTGTCTTCTTCAAGGATTTCATTAATCTTAAAGGAAAGCATTTAAGGTTAAACTTAAATTTAGAGAACATGAGAAATAATAGAAATATTTATTTGTTAAGGCTATCCTTACAGTTTGACTTTACAAGTCAACTACTTATCAAACACTAAGAAAAAAGAAAAGGAAAAAACCAGCAACATTATGCAGCTTATTTTGTTATTTATTTATTTACTTATTTTTTATTTTGAGATAGAGTCTCGCTATGTAGCTCAGGCTGACCTAGCTCATCATGCTCCATCTGGTGTTGAACTTGTGGCAATCCTTCTGCCACAGCCTCCTAAGTACTAGGATTACAGGCATGCACCACCATGCCTGGCTAAGCAGCTTATTTTTTTTAAAAAGACCTTTTAATGAGGAAATAGTAATTATTACATATTAATGTTAAAAGAAATCTTACATGTTGTGGAGGTTTGTTTTTTAAATGGTTCATTACATTATCTATTGCCACAGCATTATTTGAGGAATTAAAAAATCTGTTTTGAGGGGGCTGGGGATTTAGCTCAGCGGTTCAGTGGCCTGCCTTGCAAGTGCAAGGACCCGAGTTCAATCTCTGGTACAAAAAAAAAAAAATCTGTTTTGAGTTTCATCTCTGCAACTTGACAACAATGTGATTGTCTTAAAGAAAAAAAAAACAGCTTAGGCCTCTCTATCTCCTTACAGCTTCTTCTGTAAAATAGAGATGATAAAACACACTTACCTTGCGTGGTTATTATTCTAAAGAAGGAAATTCATTCCCTAAAGAGATGTTGTGTGTCTGCATGTGACAGCCACGTTCTAGGTATTTTCTGTGTCTCACTGAATAAAACAGCAGTCCTTGCCCTCATGGGGTTTGTTTTGAAAGGACATTGTTAAACATGTTTTCAAAGAAAATAAAAAATAAACATTTTAAGCAAATCATTACCGTATGATAGAAGGTAATAACTGCAATGGGAAAAAAGAAAAAGTAGGTAAGGATAAGGTGAATGGAGCACTGCATTGGAAGCAAGAAAGAAAGCATGGTCAGAATTATAGAGGAGCTTAGAAATTTCCAAGGACTTGAAGAGAATAGGGAGATGACAAACTTCCCAAGGATGAGTTTCCAGAGAGGGAAAAGCCAGTGCAAAATCAAGAGCCCAACTTGCTGTTTGTAAAACAGTGAAGGGGCCTGTGTGACTTGGCTGGTTGAAAGGAAAAGAAGGATAGTTGGGAATAAGGTCAGAGTTCTGTTGAAGCCATTGGAAGGACTTTGATTTTAACATTGAGTGAAAGGAAACATTATAACATTTCTAAAGGAGATGTGATATGATCTGGCATACTTTTAAGGATTCTGGCTGGCACAGAGTAGACCATAAACAAATGTTTGGTGATTAAATTATTTTCAGTGAATATTAAAGGACTTTCTTAATGTCCTAGATAGTGGTTTTTAAAGAAAACTTCTCTGGGTATTTAGCTCAGCAGCACTATGCCTGCCTTGCAAGCACAATGTCCTGAATTCAATCCCTGGTACCAAAAAGAAAAGAAAGAAACTGTTCTTGCTGATAATAGATCATAGAGCAATAAGGACAGGCACAGAGAGATGTGTTTCTGTTTTAGTGGTATGGACAAGAGGCACTAATGCTTCACACCCAGGTGCAGCAGTGGAAGTGGTGTGAATGAGTGGGATTCTGAGAGTTTTAGAAATAGAACCAATGGGATTTCCTTATGAATTGGATGAGGAGTATAAAAGAAAGAGGTCACGTTAATTTTGAGGATTTGGGCCTGAATACTTGGATGGATGCAGTTGTATTCAGCTGAGATGGGCGAGACTTAAGTCAGGCAAAAGACGGTTTTAAGTTTTTGACATAGTGAGAGATCTGTTAGGTGCACAATTGTAAATAGATGGACATTCAGGTCTGAGTTTAGATAGACACTTGGGAGTCATCAGCACAGAAATGATCCTTAACCCCAGGCTGAAGTCACCAGAGAATAGTGAGTGTAGAGAAGAAGACGGTGCCTGGACTGTAGGGCACCTCAGTATTGAAATGTAGGAGAGGGGAGTCGGCAATAAGGTAGGGAAACCAGAAAATGTCATGTCTTGGAAGCTAAGGAAAAAAGTTTGTCTAGGAAGAGAGAGTGATCAACTGTTTCCCTGTCATTGGGAGATCCAATTAGGCAAAGACTGAGAATTTGTGCTTAACAGAGTCATTGAGAACTTTGTCAGGACAGGTTCTGTTGGAGGAGTAGAGTGAGAAGCTTGATGACCATGTGTTTGAGAGTGAAGGGGAGGAAAACAGTTGAGTTTTCCTGAGTAATTTCCTGCTGCATAGGGGAGCAGAGGCAAGGTTGACAGTGACAGGAAAAGTGGGGTCAAAGGAGAGTTGTGTTTTTTTAAGATAGGATAAATCACTACTAATCTACATACGTCACATTGTAAACCTTAGAAATGTTCTCCTTGTCAACATTTGAATTGTTTTCACGGTGGGAAACTGTTATAAATATTATAAGTATGTGTTTATATGTTTTTGTTTCTTTTGGGTAAATTCTTAAAGCATGAAATTTTTCACTTGACTGTTTATAGCTTTTGTTTGTTTGTTTGTTTTTTCTGGTACCAGGGACTGAACTCAGGATCTTGTTCTTGCCAGGCAGGCATGGCACCACTGAGCTAATCCTTGGCCTATAGCTTTTATTATAGGCTGATTTTTTAGTTCAAATAATTGCTTTAAATCTTTCCTACTAGCCTGGCATTGTGGCACATGCCTATAATCCTACTGAGACAGGAGGATCGCTGCAAGTTTGAGTGAGTTTGTAGACAGCCACCTGGGCTACATAGTGAGTTCAAGGGCAGCCTGCACTATATAGTGAGACTTTGTCTCACACATGCACCAAAAAAAGTATATATGTACGTGTGTGTGTGTGTGTGTGTGTGTGTGTGTGTGTGTGTGTATAGATACACACACCCTGCTCATTCTAACATCTCTGTCTGTCACCTTGGGTTAGTTGGTTACTGTTGTTTGTCTTGTCTTTTAAGAATGTCTCACCGGGCATGGTGGCGCACACCTGTAATCCCAGCACTTGGGAGGCTGAGGCAGGAGGATCTCTGTGAGTTGAAGACCAGCCTGGGCTCCATAGTGAGTTCCAGGTCAGTCTCAACTACATAGTGAGACCCTGTCTTGAAAAACCACAAAAAAAAAAAAAAAAAAAAAAAAGAATGTCTCACATGTTCATGTATCTTCATATGTCTTATAACTTTAAACTTTTTATTTAAATCAAAGAGTAAATTTTAGAAAATAACACTACTATGTTATATAGATTCTGCATTTTGTTTCTCTGAACAGTACTGATGTTTTCATTTTAGAAAATTAATTTAATTATACTTAGACTGCATACGTTGTCTTTTGGACAGTAGAGAAAATTTTAGTTCAGTACTTTGGCTGTATGGAACCTGCCCCATGCAAACTGTTCAGAGGTCAGTGGAGATTTATGCCGAATTATCCTCAAAATTTAGTTTCTCCTCTGGTTGTCTTTGAAATGCCTTCCTCACTTTAGGTTGCCCCCAACTGTCTTCTGGTTCTCTAAGATAGAGGGACTGTGGATTTTCCACTGCACTTTACCTATCCATTGTGACCCAGAATGGGTCTGCCCTTTGTCTAAATGTTAAAAAGCAAAAACACCAGGAAATTCTTGGAAGTGATATTTCCTTCAGCTTGTAGATGGACTCTCTTTTGCCAGCTACCTGATCTTGATCATTTTCTTGGGCCTTCAAGTGGTCGATGTTTTAACCAGAATTAATAGTTGATTTTGCAGCAGGATTGGTTAGGTTGGAGTTAATTGGCCACTACATAACACAGATGCAA